TGTGCCAAGAGGCTACTGAATCTAGAAGCCAGACATCAGTAAACTTCTTTCTGCCTTCATCAACAGTGGTTGCTCCACTGAATAGAATTTCACCATCATCTGACGTGCTGACAATGTATCCTTAAGATGTTGATGGTTCTGAAGTCTTTTTATCTCCACTCTTCTTGTTGTGCCAACACTCCGATTTGACGTGCCCACTTTTGCCACAATTATAGCATTTGATATTCTTCTTACTTCGTGATTTTGATCTACCATGGGCATGACTTCCACTGGAGCCACGTTCTGTTGATCTTCCTCTCGTCACCGACAAGGCCTCCGCTTGCTGCGAACTTGACTGCCTGTCTTCTTTGTTCTTACGCCGATTTTCTTCCTCCAGAACAGCGGCTGTAACATCGTCGAAAACTAGATAGTCCGTGAGGACGTTGTTTGTCAAGTTGATGATGAGTTGATCATACGAGTCAGGTAGACTCTAAAGTAGAAGTTCCACACGTTCATTCGCACCAACTGTATACCCCAACGTTGTGAGTTGGGAGAACAGTGTGTTTAGGGTGTTGATGTGGTCGGTCATCGATGTAGATTCCGCCATCCTAAGAGTGTAAAGTCTTCTTTTTAAGAAGATTTTATTATGCATGGATTTTGCCTCATATAGCTTTGTTAGAGTATCACAGATCTCCTTTGCTGTCTTCTTCTCCTTTATGCTTGACAGCACCCTGTCTGCTAATGCCAAATGGAGATTTACAATAGCATTTTCGTCCATCTCGTTTCATTTCTTATCATCTGTGATGTCGTCCGGCCTTGCACTGATGGTCGTCAGGCAATTATCTTTTCTCAAGATAGCCTTTATCTTCAACTTTCACAGTGAGAAATTACTCCCGTCGAATTTCTCGATCTTGAACTTTGCCGTCATTGCTTCTACCACGAACAGTAACTTCTTACTATTTCACGTAAATAGTAACTATATTTATGAACAGTAACCGTATTTGTGAATAGTATCGTACTTGTGAATAGTACCATATTTTACTATACTGTGGTACCCGCCATTTTTGTTTTCTTTTTCCTCTTCAAACTTTGCTGCTGCTTCTTTCGGTGATTTGAAGTGAGGTGGGGCCTGCTCCAATTAATTGTCAACATTTGAGGCTGAGGCTGCATGCTGACATTGATTTCTACTTTCTTTCTATATACGTATATTTTCTTTTGCTATTTGATTCTCTGTATCAAATATGAGTGTATTAATAAAGAAAATCCTATGAGAATTCGAAGGAAACAGCAAGTACTTATACTGAGAGCAAGTGCAGCAAGCTCCCAGTTGGGAGTCCTAGTCAGCATGCTCTCAAGCATTTTAGAATAAAAAATTAACAAATTAAGCCTTGGGAGACACTCCTTCTTTTATGGAGCTCCAACAAGCTCCTAGTTAGGAGCTCCAACAATATCAAAAAAACCCCTCTTCTATTTTAATATTTTACCCGTACCAGATCTCCTCGGCTAGAATTATTTGGTGAGGAATCACAGTTCGTGGTTCTTCTCGGCTGTGATCGAATCTTATTGTAAGTTTCCGTTTGTTGGTTCCATTTTTGGTGATGACGCAACTCAATCCAGCAATGGTCCAACACGAATGGCTTACCATAAAGGGATTGGTATAATTCTTTTACTTCTGCAGTCTACACAAGAGTTAAATTTAGAATAATCAAACATATAAGTTAAATATTTACATAAAAACTTATAAGTTAAATATTTACCTGGTCAATAATTCCCGTACCAGATCTTTGTCTTCCTTCAATCTGAGCAACGCACCCGCAGAACTTGTTGACCGACAGTTGAATCGTTGACCAACGGTGCATCATTTGGTTTGGTGTGCGACTCGTTGGATCGGTGGAGTATTGGATAAAGTAGTCGTTAGCTCTGTGCCAGAACTTATCTTTGTGTTGCCCCGTGCCTTGGATGGAGTCTTGGCTCGTGTTCAGCCAAGCAGACACAAGAAGTTTATCCTCGTGGACAGTCTAATTTTCGGACCGCGTGTAAGCCTTCTTCTTCTTTGTGGTCGGTGTTTCTTAGGATGACACTTGTTGTGTTGCGGATTGCGATAACTCGATGGGATGACCTTCTTCTACGACTTCTGTATAGAACAGCGAGTTTAAGGTCGATCCTTCACCGGTAAGGAGATGCGAATAGTAGTTGTTTTGGGAGGGATCCATGAGATTTGTAATTTGATAGGAAAATATAAAGTTTTTTTTATGAGAGAGTTGTGTGGGATGATTTGTGTATTGAAGTGAAACGAATTTATAGATGATTTTTTATAACAGTAACTTTTTCAACAGCATGATTTTTCAACGGTCCAATTTTCACAACGTCAAATTTTCCAACGACATGAATTTTCAACGGCTATTTTCACAACGTTCGATTATCTAACTCACAATTTCAACGAAAATTTCACAACTCATTCACCTCAAACAACGCACTCCATTAAAAAAAATTAAATTCATCTTCTCTCTTCGACAACAGACCCAACCCCAAATTTGTCGACATCATCTCTGCCATCATCTCCGCCATCATCCATCAAATTCGTCGACATCATCTCCGCCATCATCTCCGCCATCAAGAATCATCTCCGCCATCACCCATCATCTCCGCCATCATCTCCGCCTTCAGTCTCCGATCCCACCCCGAAGTCTCCGATCCCACCGCCGATTTCTGATTTTGGAGGGGGGGTTTTGTAAATCCTCCCAGTTGGGTGGGAGCTCCGAAGCTGGAGGCAGCCACGTCAGCGCTTGGGAGGTCCTTGGGAGCGCTTCGAAGGCTGTTGGAGGGGGTTAAATCGGAGAGCTTGGCCACGTCGGAGCTGAGAGCGGAGCTGGGAGCTTGCTGCCCATGCTCTGAGTGCTCACTGATGCATAAGCAGCAGAACCGTGCTCTCTCACGTGCATTCACTCATATTTGAAACTTTGAACTAATTAAGGGTGTTTTTCAATATTAGTCCCTTAAATCTCCAGTAATTTGATATTAATCCCTTAAATATGCATATTTTGATATTAGTCCTTCAAATTGCTTAAATATATAGATAAGTGTTCCTCTGTTAGAATTTTTGTCCAAATCCCCTAACCCTGGTTCGGTTTACAGTGACCCATGATGTCCAATTACTAAAATACCCCCGATACATTGAATACACCCGCCAAACTAGAGAAGAAGAATCCCCACAAGATTTGGGTGAAGTGAAGATGTATAGTAGCAGTTGCTCAGGTAATTTTGTTTGATTAAATATTTTCCCCTTGATTTTGCAGTCTTCATTCCTTTGGGGTATTATTGTTCTGTTAGGACTAAAAGATTAAGGCTTTGTGGTCTATTATTCAATTATGCACTTTTGTGGGGACTATTTGAAGTAGATGTATGTACATTGTGATGATCTTGTTCAGTTAGAATTATATTTACTATATATTGTGCCTTGAAATTAATTTTTACGATGATTTCTTATTACTGCCCGTTATACCTCAAGCGTGTATTCATTTTAGGGTAACTGAGTTTTTATTCATTTCATGTGGGTTTAAATTGATATTGTGCTTAATTATAATGTTAAATTATTGTAATTTTGATATACTTGTATGGTGCCATTTGAAATATGCCTTGAAATTAATTTTTATGATGATTTTTTATTACTGCCAATTATCAAATGTGTACTTATTTTTGGGTAACTGAGTTTATTCATTGCATGTGTGTTTAAATTGATATTTGAAATATGGTTGTGGTTAATACATGTTGGTTTTATTTGTTGATTCTTGATGGAGGAGGGTATTGTGGAAATTGTACTAAGGTATAATGGGTATTGGAGGAATATACCTAGGACTGGTAGGAAAAAAATATGAGTGTGAAAACCAAAAGAAACTAAGAGTAGATGTTAGTAGCAATTCATTGAAGACGTTGGGTGAATTAATTTCAGAATTTCTATCAGTTGTTAAGTGTAACATAATAAAGTTGTCCTACAGATTTCCTGAAACAATTCGTAGAATGTTTGCTAGAATCAAGACTAATGGTGTTTTTATGGGTGTGATTAAAAATCAGTTAAGGAGGAGGAGGCTTGAATTGTTCTTAACACTTGAGAGTGTTCCAAGCATGAGTTTGAATGTACCAGTGTCTAATAGGAGAAGAAATCCACCTGGAGAGCATGCACATAAGCTGACCAAGTCCATTTATATAGACATGGATGAATTATCTAGCGACGAAGAGAAGAAATTTGGGGTTAATGATGATAGGTTTGTGAATCTGGGATAGTGGAGGACGATTCAGATAGGGGATTAGCTAGGTGAAGATGGTTTTAACTGGTGTTAGAATGATGGTGAAGTTGATGACGATAATTTGAATACTAATCAAGATGACATTGTTGGAGATAAGTTAAATAGAAGTTGATAATGCAAAGGATTGTGAAGATGATGCAGATGACTATGTTTTAGATGATGAATATCATTCATTGAATAGTTCTGAGGATGAGAAAGGAAGTGAAGATGATGCTAGTATTAGCTAGGCTCAAGAGAAATCTGTTTATAGCTTTGATTTAGAAGATCCAGCATTTTTATGAAGGAAATAAATTTGTTGACATTAAACACTTGAGGTACGCGCTACAACAACATAGCATTAAGAGGATTTTTAACTATCAATATGTTAAAAATGACCATGTGAGAGTGGTAGTTAAATGCAAAAGAGAGGACTGTGAGTGGCAACTGAGATGCAAGGTCCGAAAGATGGTCAAATTATGGAGGTTACAAGGCTTAGAAATCCGTATACATGTGTTGTTGTCAATAATTATGGTAATGAACAAGCTACTTGTTATTGGATTGCCTACAAAACTCTTAAAGATGTCAAGAAGAATCATAACATATCTCCTAATGATATTATAAGCCAAATTCAAGCTAAATGTGGTTAAACTGTCAATTATAATAGAGCTTGGAGAGGCCAGGAAGGGAAAACGCTAGAGAAATAATTTTTTGAAAATGCTGGAGAAATAATTTTTTACAATGTTGAAGCCACAAAATTCAACAAGAAGAGAAAGCAAGGGTTAAGATGGAAGGGAAAGTTGGAATCTTATGTAGACAGATATTGTCAGGAGAGGAGCAAGAAGGTTGGAGGTTACACAGTTAGGCACACTAATGATGGTGAGGCTGAGGTGGAGAATGAATATGAAAAGAGGACCATCAATGTGGCAGATCATACATGTAGCTGTAAGAAGTGGCAAATTACAGGGTTGCTATGTATACACGTGGCTCATTATATTGGATCCATAAGAAATGAAGATTGGCCATCATATTGTGACAACTACTACAGTGTGGATAGGTATGCACTCTTATATCTATCTACTTTTTTTTATATATTTACTTCTAGCATGATTATATAGTGTACTAATACTTGTATGCTTCAAATTTATGCAGATACAGGGTGGCTTATGCAGAATAAATTGGAGTTCTACCATCACAGAACCAATAGGAACCATTTATGAAGGATTTTACAATAACTCTTCCACATACAAAGAGACCAAGGGGAAGGCCAAACAAAAAGAGGATAAGGGGAAAAGGTGAAAATGATCTTGGAAGGGCTAGAGCATCACAAGTTAGCAAGAGAGTGCACAGATGCACAAGATGCAGAGGACTAGGCCATGACAAGAAGTCTTGCAAAAATCCTATAAATGCAGCAGATGGCAGTACTCAAGAAGCTAATACAACAAGGTAATTTTTTTTTTAAAATTTACATGTCATTTAACTAACTACATGCTAATGTCACCATTGCTTGTAGCCATGTTAATGAACATATCATTACTGGAAGTAGCCAAGGTGTACAACAACACCACAATGAATCATTTGGAACAAGGTGATTTATGTTCATGATTTGTCTACTAAGTCATTATATTGTGTACTAACATTGTCCTTTTGATTGTAGTGTTGGTGGATCAACTAATATCAAGTCAAAACTACATGCTATTAGAGGGAGGGGAAGGGGTACTGTTGTTAGGGGAAGGGGTACTGCTGTTAGAGGAAAGAGTATTGCTGTTAGAGGAAGAGGAAAGGGTATGCATCTAACTTCAACTACAACATGGAGCACACCACACCCATCTACACCACCATGTTCATCTCAACCATCTGCAACTTGGAGTCCACCACAACCACCATCTCACAATTCACCCCTCTCACAAGAAGAACAAGCACAACAACAAGCTAGCCAAAGTACTCAAGCATCAGGATCTGGAGCATTTGGCAATGTGAGGTTGGTATTGAACTTTGTCGTCTTGTACATGATCATGTAATTTTTTTGATATGATGACTAGAAGTGTATTTTGTGAGCTTTCTTACTATATATGTTACTATGTGTACATGATATTTTGACTAATTTTGGATTGTGTACACCATGTAATATCTATTAACAGTTATGTATAATAGTTAAAAACCACGTTTTAGTTTGTACATGGCATTTTGTGGATATTGTCAACATGAAACTCATGCAGTATAATGACTTTAATGTTACAGACTTACAGTAGCTTGATAGCATTTTGTGCATTTGTGTAAATCTGCAACGAGAAGAGTATGATTATGTTGGGTATGATTGGTTTCAACAAGTTTTGTGTCTTTTGTGCAAATAAAAAGAAGAGGATGGTTTTGACATGTTAATGTGTGTTGTTGCATGTTAAATGTGTAGAAGAGGATGGTTATCATTGTTTTTTATTGTTTATATGAATGATAAGTGTATAATGCACCATGTAAATTATGTACACTCTATGTTTATGGATATTGTGCATACTATGTATAGTAAGTGTATATTGTGTGTATTGTTATATTATGTACTTTCTATGTTTATGTATATTGTGTATATTATGTATAATAGGTGCATACTTTGTGTATAGTTATATTATGACATGGGTGTGTTATACACTAGTTATAAGAACTAACAAGAAAACTCATTACTTAATTACTTAATTCTATTAAACTTCTCTGATATTACACATTACAGCATATTGCTAAATATTTTTACAAAAAAAAAAAAAAAAAATCAGAGAACCCAATATAACCAAAAGGATCTTCATCAACAACAGAACTTTATCAAAACTTCCTAGATAATATGCTTACTTCCTTTAACATTTTCACCATTAAACTCCGATTGTCATCAACCCACGCAAAAAACCCACAATCCTTGTTTGTTGAATTTCTTGTTGGGGAGAAACCCCTATGCCGAGATCCAACCAAATAGCCGAGAGAGATAAACCACACAACCAAAAGATAGCACAAACAATCAACACCAGTTTTAACGTGGTTCGGCAATGGCCTACGTCCACGGGGCAAGGAGGGGGGAGTTTTCACTATTAGAAATCAAGAGGAACAAACTAGGGTTACAAATCTCTCATAAACCCTCTGCAAATCAACTCTCAATCTCTCCAATTGCTCCTAGAATAGAAGCCCAAAGAAAACCCCTTTCAACAGCTCAAATCTCCTGCTCTCAAACCGTAGAGACACCCTCTAAGTATTTATACCAATCCCAAACGAAACAGGTCTGGAAACAGAACCAGACCCGAAACCGCTGCGGCGGTCGACCGTGGTAGTCAACCGCGATCCATCGCCCTCAATCCCAGAACAGCCTCAAAATCCAGAAACTTCTGCGGTCGACCGCCAACGGTCCAGACGCACAGTGAACCCTGTGCACAAATGCGGTCGACCGTCAGAATCCCGCGGTCGACCGTCAGCCTGCCAAACAGCTATTCTGAGCCATCAACTGCCAATCCTACATTTCTATACTGCGGGCAACCATAGAATTGAAGACCCTTATTATCACCTTGCTCACAAGTCCGAGTCTTGCAGTACAATCCACAATAACACCTCGAGTTAGCCCCATCAACTGGAACTTCATTAGCAGAAGACATGGAAAACTCCATGGCAAATTCACAATAGGATATTAGATCTAGGTTAGAAGAGGGGACCGGGTCAATGGAGGAGTATCAATGACCCTTTATAGACTCAAAAATGGAAAAAGACCACTGGAGAAGATGGAAATAGGTAGCGAGTTCGGTTTGCGTGTCTTAACGGGTTTGTGGGTTTGGGTTTTAGAAGGGAGGATATAATTATCCATTCCTTATAAAAATTGTACATAATGGAATATTCATTGGTATTAATAACCCCAACAAACTTCGGAGACTCTTATCAATATATTTAAGCAATTTTAGGGAATAATATCAAAATACGCATATGTAAGGGACTAGTATCAAATAGTAGTGATTTAAGGGACTGCTATAAAAAAACCAATAATTAAACCAAGAAAATTACAACAAGACTGAGCAGCTCATGGGAATAAATAATTTGATGAGAACCTCGAGCGCATGCATGAACCTTGCAAACCCATCATTTATCCTTTTGTTTAGTGTTATTGATTAAGGTTGTTGTCTCAACTTGCAATTTTGTAGGCAGGCCACTGGCCACCCATATCTCACTCAGATCTGTATTTGTATAGTATTTTTGTCCGGTGCAGATTGTAGTAGAAGAACCCAAGTTGGTGTCTTTAAGCATTGAGCATAGCACAGTTGAAAGTGGTCAAGTGGGTTATTTAACGCAACACTTAGGCAAAATACTTCATGGGACAGCTATAGTGTACGACACATTGAATCAAGTGCATAGTTCCAAGTTGTTGAGGATAGCTGCTGGCTGATGAGATGTAACCCCTTTATCTAAATACCCATTTGTAGTTGTAATTATAATAATGCTATAATTACTCCCAAATCCAGACAAGATTGGAAACATGAAGGTTAAATTTACTTTAAATGTGTGGCTGGTAAGATTCGAACTTGAGTTGCTCTGATCCTTTCTATTTATAAATACTCTTTAACACTCAAAATGTATAAAAACATCTTAAAGAATGATTCTACATACTCCAAAAACATATAAATCATATTAAAGAATGATTTTACTTGCAAATGTAGCCTGTTTGTTTGTGTATTGACGGTTTATAACTAATATAAAGTTTTAGTTTAATTTTATGGGTCTTTGGATTACAAATTCTCCAACTTCGAACTTCTCCATCCAATCAAAGAGGTAGCTCCATTTTCGTAGCTGTACATAGACTTGTCCAATTGGGCTTCGGCCCAGACCCGGCCCGGTGTCCAGCTCCGACCAGACTAGGCCCAGACCAGACTCGAGCCCAAAAAAGCCCAGAAAATTAGGGCTGACTGGGCTCCGCGCCCGTGACCGGATTATGATGGTGAAGCCCGACCCGGT